ATTTCATGGAACAGTAATAATCCTCCTTATACTTGAAAAGGTTTAAGTTCAATCACAAACCATTTTTCCTTAGTTCTTGGTCATAATCCAATGATTCTATATAGAACATCTATAGTGAAGCAGTCTTGTATGTTGCAAAGAAAACTGGGTCTAAACAGTCTGGGTTATAGTTTGGAGTCTGACTCTAATAAGCTCTACAATTATGGGGGAAATCATATCTGACCTCAGGTAACATGAGGGGCCAGCCAAAAGTTCCTTCCAGGATTAAATGTAGTTCATTACACACACACACACACACACACACACACACACACAAACACACACACAAACATGCCTGCATGTGCTGTACATTTTGCACTTAACAGCTATTCAAATCCCTATTAACTTGGAAGGTATTTATTTAGAAGTAGAGAAATAGCAGTTCTCTGATTTCATAGTCTTTTATCTCAGGATTATGGAGGATCTTACATCATTCATTAATTAAGTCCAACCGCCCCCCACTTCTGAAAGGTGAGCCCTGAAAGGCTGTTATTTTCTGCCGTCGCCCATATGGTACCATGACATGATATTAACTTTGGAACACAGTGCACCAAGAACACAGCAACTCACAGGAAGAGCGTCCTGGGGACACACTGTGCAAATGAACTGCGGGGAGGGAGAGGGGAGGGGTTGGAATAGAGAGGTATGTGATTTTAATGGTGGGATTCTCTGGCACATGAAGTTGGTTTTAAAATTGAGAATAATTTAATTCACTGGTAAATCGATGATTTTTCCTCATCCACCTCCTCCCAGTGGATCATCAAACCCTGTAAAACTCATCCCATTTTGACCCCTCTCGTTCTATGGAAGCTGGTGATGTTCCTTTGAAGAAAACAATGATGATGATGATGATGGTTTGGGATCTGTTTACATTTCTTTTCTCTTTCCCCAGACACCACTTCTCGGCAAAGTTAGAATTAGGTCAATGAGTTTACCACTGATGCCATCCCTCACCACATGTACATATCTGTTTCAAAAAGTCATAGAGCTGAAGCATAGCACAGGTTTGTTAGTAACCTGGGGAAAAAAGGTAGATAGAGGAGGGAGGTATCAAATCTGATGGTGATGGAAGGTTTGCAACTTCTCACTGGGATGCAGTACCAACACCAGCATTTTTCAGTCAATTATTTCTTATTGAGAGCAAACAGTTATGTAATTATACCAACAATGGATGTTGCAAAGGGTAAGATTTCCTTCTTTTTTATGGCAGAGTAGTATTCCACTGTGTAAATGTACCATGGTATGGTGATTACCAGAGGGAAAGGGAACTAAGGGGATGTAGGAGATGGTAAACAGGGGATAAATGGTGGTGGAAGGAGACTTGACTTGAGGTAGTGAACACACAATACAATATACAGATGATTGAATTGTAACCCTAAAACCTATTTAATTTATTAAACAGTGTCACCCCAATAAATTCAATAAAAAAGAAAACATATTAATGAAGGAAGAAGTAAGTCCTGTTGTCAGTGTTTCCTTTGGCATTCTGGGAAATAATCTGTTTATGGTGGCTGCAGATATCTATTTGCTCAGCAAAGCTAATTTTAGCTGAGGACAAAAATATGTAGAGGGCAATGACACATTTTTGCTAACAGTGCTAGGCTATCATGCCAGATCAGGCCCTCCCCACCCTCCCCCCTAAAAAACACACAAAAAAAACACCCATGAAATATTGAGACACATCAGAAGTTTCAGTTCTTTCAGAAGAGAAGAAAATTATCACTTGGGAGCAGAAAAGAGTGATCCATTTACTTCAGAAATATGCAAAGCAAATTTAACCTCTTTCTATACCTCTTCAAAGAATAAATGTTTTCTTTATTTTTTCCTCTCCTCCAAGCAGCCTTTTCCTCTGTAGCTATTATACTATTCCAATTGAAACCTCATATTTCAGAGACATAGCTAAATTTTTCATTTTAACATATATTTAATATTAACCCCAGACTACATATTTCCCAGGATATACAACAACGCAGCTTAGGTTGAAGTTTCCTTTGGTTATATTGTGGATTTGTGAGTTATCCACACATTTAGAAACCATCCACATACTTTATAGCTGTACAATTTTAAACATGTCAGACAGATACCTTCCGGTCATGTGATATTGGGAAATTTATTTAACATCTCTCTAAACTGGTTGTTAAAGTGGGGCTCACGACAGTGCCTACCTCTCATAAATATGCAGATGAAATGAAAAGATCTTTGCAAAACATTTAGCCCAATACTTGGATCATAAAGAATGCCTACTTATTATTTATGATTACATTATTATTGCTATTATTTGTGTAATTTTAATAGTTTTTCTGTCTAGCTTATCTTCAAAATCTCATCAGCCATCCCACTGCCTCTCTAGATTCACTGAAAATGTTTACTTATGTCTAAGTGCCGAAGTAAAGCCATTACCTGGATATAACTTAAAGCCCATGGAATATGAAAATCAAATCATAGGGGGCAATTGTGGAAAGGAAACATTTTATAATGAAAGCCCAGATGAGTCTCTAGATAAGTCACATTACAGTTATAAAAAAGACAGAAAGACTAAAAATTGTTTTCACTCTAAGAAAAAAATCAAAAGACAGTACCAATTTTTATCCTCCCTTTGTTTATAAATCAACATGACACCATATTTTTATCTCTTCATTAATTTTTTAAAGTAAAACAGTTTTAACAAAAAGCACTGTACTAAACACACACACACACACACACACATTCACACACAATAGCTAGACTCTATAGCAACATGTCATCTTCAACCTATTTTCATGAACCTGTTCATGATTTGAAGCCTAAACTTACTTATGTGGCCTTGTTAGTTAGTTAGATAGTTAACTTAGTTTTCACTCATTTTTCCACAAGGTATAGGTTTCTCCAATTGCATGTCCTTTGCTGTTTGTATGGGATGCCAGAAAACTATCTCCATATTTCCATAGATGACCATGACAGGCATAAATGCTGAGACAATTATAGAGCAAGTGCCCAACAAAGATGGTGGCTACATTCTGCCCATCCCGGCTTACAGGGGAAAAGGAAAATTTTCTTCATTCTATGAAACAACTATCAGAAGGCCACTGGTTCAAAAGTAAACAAACAAAAAATCCCCAACACTTCAAAGACCCAGGCTTTGTTTTTAAAATATCTTGGCCTATATTTAAGAAAACTAAGTAGACAGCATGAACTTAAGAAAATACAAGGAATCCTTAAATCTCAAGTCAGCTCTTGCAGATGAAAAAGGAATTCTCTAAACAGAACAGCAGTTGCTGGCTTAAGGAACCATAGGCCCTGCCAAATGGTAATATAGCCTTATATACTCGCCTGTAATTATTGTTTTTCTCATATGACTGCACAGCTCCCATAGAAAGAGATAACATTAACAATTGAATCTTTGCTCCCCCTGGAACTTGTGATGTAGAAACAACACTCACCAGTATCTGCTAACTTTTCTTTCCTGGGCCTAGAGAAGACTATAACGCCTTAGCACCCTCCCACCACTGCCTTCACAGTTAGGTGGGGCCACGTGATTCCTGACACATGGATTGTAACAGAATACAAGTGTGTCTCTTTTAAAGGAGTCAGAGAGCCCAGCCACCATGGCTCAGTGGTGAACATTGACCTATGAACCCGTAGGCCACAGTTAGATTCCTGGTCAGGGCACATGCCCAGGTTGTGGGCTTGATCCCCAGTAGGGGGCATGCAGAAAGCAGTCAATCATGGTTCTCTATCATCTTTGATGTTTCTATCTCTTTCTCTCTCTCCCTTTCCCTTCCTCTCTGAAATCAATAAAATATATTTTAAAATAGACTCTGGTTATATTTTAGATTGTACACATTTCTTTCATGTGCATGATTTCATTTGACCCCTCTGGCATCCTTATAAACATCATCACAAATAAATTGTCATAGGTCATCTAGGTAATCAGTGTCTGAGAATCTGTATCCCAGTGGTACAAAGATGCTTTCCCTTACAAACAACGAAAAGGCTTCTCGTCCTGTAGCCAATGAACTCTCCAACCTCAGAGTGCTCTGCATTATAAATTGAATTTCAAAAAAATCACATTATTTAACAGTGATAATGAATATCAATGTACCTGTAAGACAGAGCTTTACAAGACTAGAAAGATTTACATCTGATGAGCTTAAGGAAAACAGATAAAAAATAAATAAGTAAAGGAAGGAAGGAAGGAATGGAAGGAATAAAGGAAAAAAGAAAGGCCATTAAGTTCCTTGATCCTCCTATATCCCCCTAAAACTCCATGGAGACAATGACTTAAAACCCCAAGTCTTCCGTATCCTTGACTCCTTTGCCCTTGACACTCTATAACCCAGCTTTCCCCATACAGAGACACCAAACATGCAAATGCTTGATGAAAGATTTTATAGCTGCCATTACATAATGAATTTGCTGTCAGTTTGTCTAAAATGTGCCTGTTGAATAAATGAGCAGAAAGAAAGCCAATCTTTGCTATAAGCAATGGAATTTTCAACTAACTACAATCAACGTGGGCATATCTACCCTGCACTGCAGTGCGTCTCCAGCATCCTTACTCATTCATAACAACTGAACTTTTCAGCAATGAGGAGAACAACATAAGGCAATAAACAATAAAGAAACATTTACTAATAGTTTTGTTAAAAAGTTGTTTGTACTGTTAGGATATAATACAGTAAGTTACCAACCATATTCAAAACCCGGTGTATTTTCCAAATATTTTATCTAAATCCATGCTATATACAGAGATATCTGTACACAATGCAACATTTTTAACTAGAACGTTAGCCATCTTCATAATGCTTGAACACTGTTATCGAGGTATATATAGTAAATGCATCATTTTTCTAAGAGGCTCTTGATGATTACAAAATGGAAATCTCACTAAATGTTAGGAATCTAAAATTAAACATCACATAAGTAGAATTGCCCATTTTATAGACTTGGAAAGAGAAGGCCAAAGAGGCCATACAACTTACCACAGGTTCCACTGTTGTCTGTCACTGACAAGCTGAGTGACTCTGGGTGAGTCCCCTCTCCCTCAGCCTCAGTTTCTTGATCTGCAAAATGAGGTGATTGGACTAGATGATGAAAGAATCCATATAGCCTGACAATGCCATTATTAAACAAAACCAGGGGCCACATCTAGAACATTCTCCTTCCAAAGCAACATACAAGAAGATGAAAAGATATTTAAAGGGCACTTGGCACTACTGGTGTTCCAGCTGCTGAGACTGGATCTAAACTTGGGACTTCAGCATTGCAGAGGTCGCTGGTGCCCACCACAGACCAGCAAAGCGGGAGACAACAGCCGTGGGCATGCTCTTTGCCTGAGAAGGGCTGTGACTGAGTATTGCTCCAGAGTGCTGGTCAATCATCCCCTCCCCCTATCAGAGGATCTGACATCCTCTGTTGGGCTCTGCCTCAGGCATCTCTCCTCAAGGCTCACTGGAGCCCTGGGAGTCCAGCCCTTGACCTAAACCCAAACAAAGATGTATTTCCTTCTGGAAGACTCCCCGCCCGGACAAGTCATTCAAAATCAACCTTAAAAACCACTCCAGGCTCCAGGGAGCTGCCTATTTCAGCATCTTTTAATTAGCTGTCTGCCCTTGTCTGTAGGGATATCTTTGCATTTTATTACAAGTTTATTAGCTTAACAAACAAAGAGTTGGTGTGTTTAGGAAAAAAGGCAGATTGAATGGAGGACCTGCCTTGATCATGGGCCATGCTTTAACCCGTTTACTTACTTCCCATTCCTAACTCTTATGGGAAAGTGTCTTTCTGGCTTTTATTTATTTTAAATGTTTCCATCCCTCCCTTTTTCATCTTTTTGTTGTTACTATTTTCTAGTGAGAAACCTGAAAGTCAAGCAATGGCTTAGGGTATTTAAAGGATATTTAAATATATGACTCAGCAAGACAGAACCCAGATTCATGGATGTAGAAGTGGACACTGCCAATGTCCCTATTAAGTTAACCATTAAGCCAGAATTTAATCAATTGGGCTCATTAAAAAAATATGCACAAGTGAACCTGAAGTATTGTGTTCTATTAGCTGTAACATATTGAAGAAAAGCTAGTATCGCCTGGCCAGCATGGCTCAGTGGTTGAGAATCAAACTATGAAGCAGGAGGTCACGATTCGATTCCCGCGCAGGACACATACCCGGGTTTTGGGCTCGATCCCCAGTGTGGGGCGTGCAGGAGGCAGCTGATCCATGATTCTCTCTCATCATTGATGTTTCTGCCTCTCTCCCTCTCCCTTCCTCTCTGAAATCAATAAAAATATATTTCTTAAAAAAAGAAGAGAAAAGCTAGTATCTACATCTAAATAACTATATATTTAACGATCAACAAGAAGGAGAAAAATTGAATAAATGATGTCTAATCCAATAAATAGCAATTTTGTTATTATTATCATGATTAGGATCATCTATATAAAGTGTTTATTACATGTTGGGCACACTCCTAAACATTTTACATGATTATACAGTTTTAATCTTATAGAAACACTGCAACGTTAACCCTAAAGGAGACATGGGGAGATGGAAGAGAGTCAAATAGTGGCCTCAAAGAAGAATTTAGTTGTTGACAAGGGACAATCATAAAATTTAGATTGGCTATATTAGGCAAAACCAAGATGGGAAGGTACAAGGAAACCCAGTTTTGCTCAACTGCTATTCATACACAGAAACTGGGAAGCAGAGGCTCCCTGTTTGCAGTGTGTGTGCTCATTGCTAAAGGTACCCAGCAAAGGGACTCTCTGACCAGCTCTCGGGGATGCCATAGAAAGACATCCTGGCCCTCGCTGGTTTGGTTCAGTGGATGGAGCGTCAGCCTGTGGACTGAAGGATCCCAGGTTCGATTCCTGGCAAGGGCACATGCCCGGGTTGTGGGCTCAATCCCTAGTGGGGGGCAAGCAGGAGGCAGCCGATCAATGATTCTCTCTCATCATTGACGTTTCTATCTTTCCATCCCTCTCCCTTCCTCTCTGAAATCAATAAAAATATATTTTTTAAAAAGTAAAATAAAATAAAGTTACACCAGAGCCTGGCTGGTGTGGCTTAGCCTGGTGACTAGCACTAGTAACAACAAATAGAGCTCTTTATTAACATTATTTAGAGCTCTAACATTAAATAGAGCTCTTTATTATCATTATTTTTATGACTGTTATTTACTATTATTATTTTTGTGGTTATTTCTAAGCCATATGAATGTCTCAGGTTCAATAACTTTGATAGACATCTTTACATTATAAGAGATCAATCAAAGCAGCTACATTTTATCTGCTAACCTGGCAATCTTAATTGTCTGGGGAGAGGGAAATAAATCAAATAAACCACCTTTTCGATGAATGACTACATCGAAGAAGAATTCAATAACATGTTTTCAAAGTGCTGATCTCTTAACTAAAATAAGAATATGTAGTGAACAAAAGAGAAAAAAAACTGATATATTTTATTCCAGAATGTTAAAATTATTATTTAAAGCTCACTGCACACATGATGGAGGACCATACATTTCTCCTTTTAGTGAAGGAACTATTATATGCCTTTGCAATTAATTAATGTTGCCTCCAATATTCCTATAAAAATGAATGGCAAATTCATTTGAATGTGGCATCTGGAATAGCAGGACCCCTTGTCCAGTTCTTATATGTTAATGTAATATTAACAATATGAATTTTAAATGGTATGTGTGCAAACTGGTTTGAGATAAGCAAAATTCTACACTGCAATTTACACCAATATTTTTCCAACAATTTTGACAGTAGAGCTGTTGTTTGAAAGACTATGGTAGGTGTGACATAAGCAAAGGCACTTAAATTCCTATCATTGGCTGAGAAAGTGCCTCATTCTTCATGGAGCTCCTAAAACACATCTCCAGAGTCTGAAAGCAGTTAGAAAAAGATTCCTTAATGAAAATATCTTATACTATTGATGAGAAAAAGAAGTGCCCAAAATAGGAAGTTATTTGACCACGTCTCACAGCTATTTAATGGTTAAAATTAGATTTATGACTCATTTATTCATTTAGCTTGTGTTTATCGAGAGACCTCCATGTGCCCATTCTGTGCTAGGCTTCCAACATACACAGTGCTTATTTTTTTAATTTATTAAATTTCCATTTGACAACTATTCATTTGTTATCTACAAGGTGCAGGCACTGTGTTTGGTACAGTGTGTTGAGGTGAACGTAAGTAAGATCTGCTCTCTGCCACAGCACTCTTTTATTTATTTATTTCTATTTTACTTATTGATTTTTAAAGAGACAGGAAGAAAGAGAGAGATTTGTTGTTCCACTTATTTATGCATTCATTGGTTGATTCTTACATGTGTTCTGACCAGGGATTGGACACACAACTTTGGCATATCACAAGGACATTCTAACCAATTTAGCTACCTGGCTAGACTTTTTAAAAGCTAGTGAGGAATGTTCCAAGTACATAAATAGTTACAGTAATTGTTAGAATGTAGTTAATACCATAAGAAAGCAAGATAATTTGGCAGGTGTTAGTTTAATAATTTTTCTAGCCATATTAAAAAAAAAAAAAAACTGGTCTGGCTGCTATGATTCTGTGGTTCAGTGTTGGCCTATAAATCAGGTCATGATTTGATTCCCTCTCAGGGCACATGCCTAGGTTGTGAGCTCAATCAACACATGGGCAGGAGGCATTGCCGAAACCGGTTTGGCTCAGTGGATAGAGCATCGGCTTGCGGACTGAAAGGTCCCAGGTTCGATTGTGGTCAAGGGCATGTACCTGAGTTGCGGGCACATCCCCGGTGGGAGATGTGCAGGAGGCAGCTGATCGATGTTTCTCTCTCATCGATGTTTCTGACTCTCTATCTCTCTCCCTTCCTCTCTGCAAAAAATCAATAAAATATATTTTTTTAAAAAAGCTGTGTCTATTAACCAATCATCAAAACTGTATTCATCATGTGACATCTGCAAAGAACTAGACAGTTGTAGCTTACTGAGCTAGAAATTTATATGAAAATTTCCATACATGTGACATAGATTAAGTAAATAAATTTCTAACATTTTAATCAATGGTTAGGAAAAAGACTATGAAAAAAATGGGTCAACCTTTTTTGAGACTTCAAATACCCAGTATTACTTTGTACTGGGTTAACTCTACAGACTTTTGATTTAGTACTTAATCTCCATGGTGATTAGGGATGTGAAAAATGATAATGCTGGCATTTCATTGAGGTGCTTCTGGGAGGTGACATATATGACAAATTCATTCTTCTAATTAGCTGTGATAAAAGTCATCTCATCCCCTATTAGGGGGAAAATATAAACAGAAACATGTGGTTTCCTTGATTACTAATATTTGAACCAGAAAGGAACTAAAAAAGCCTGAAAAAATATTTTCTGTTATTTGAATAATTCCAGTTTGATCACTCCAATCACTTTTTACATAAGAGGCTATAAGAAGTATCATATTTCCATTTCCATCTTTTTCAGATTATAGATCATTATTTTAATGATAAAATTCACTATTCAATAAAATGTTAAACAAAATATAAAGACTAGAAATAACTGGTATGTATGTATATATACATATATACATATATATGTATATATGTATATACATATATACATATATATATGTAATCTTCTAGAATTTATACTGATAGAAAGTAGAAAACAATTTGTTTACTATTTCTACCATTACTTATTAGGAATCTGGGCACTTTTAAACATGACTATGAGGAATATTAGTAACTGCTCAGTAGGAGATGAAATGGCTTTCCCAGGTGGAGTTTACGGTTGTCTTATAATCACTCAAGACACCAAAATTTTCTTTAACCTAACCTAAGCTTGCTCGCTTTCAACCTTCCCTCCCTCAATCCTATAACTTTCTCTCCCGCTC